TAGAGCACTTGTCGCCTCGTCTAGTAAAAGTATCGATGGATTCTTTACTATTGCTCTTGATATCGCAATCCTCTGTTTCTGTCCACCAGAAAGTTGAATTCCTCTCTCTCCAACCTAAGGTAAAATTTCAATTTAGGGTTTACAATTGTTTCTTGTTTTCCAAGGTATCTCTTTTTAACATACCTGAGTCTCAAATCCTTCAGGGAGGTTGTTGATAAACGAAATAGCTTCCGAGAGCTTTGCAGCACGGGCAAGCTCCTCATTCGTCGCGTCATCTTTGCCATACATAATGTTCTCGCGGATCGTTGTAGCAAACAGAGCTGGTTCTTGATTAACCAAACCAATCTGTCCCCTTAACCACTTTATATCAAGATCTTTAATATCGTTTCCGTCTAGCCACACAGCTCCAGAGTTTGGCTCATAGAACCGCTCTATCAAAGATATGACCGTGCTCTTCCCTGACCCGCTTCCTCCAACCAGTGCCACGATTTTCCCGGCAGGGATGGATAGGTTTAGCTTGTCAAAGATCACTACATCGGGTCGAGATGGGTAGCTAAACGTCACGTTCTTGAATTGAATGTGCCCGTCTACTTTGCTGAGTCTACGACCAGATTTTGCGCTTGTTTTAGCTGCGGTGTCACGTTCAATCATCTTGAAAATTGGATATGCAGCAGCTTTGGCTCGTACAAACGCGGAAATATCCGGAGCTGCCTGTCCAAGAGACCTACACGAACACGAAAACGTTATCATACATAAAAGAAACAGAGGAAACGTGGATAGCAAGCAAGATAGGGAGATCTTATACAGGCCAGCGATGACAACGTTGAGCATTGTAGTGAATGATTTGCCACCATCTGCGATCTCTTTATGGACCACAACGCTTGTGAACCAGACAAGCAATGCCCATGATAGAAACAAGACACAGTGCAACGAACCAAGACCTAGTCCTTTGGTTAAACCGGCTTTTCTCCCGTACTTGAACGTGTTCTGGAGAGCTTCCCGGTATAACTTCACAGCTCTTTCTTCACCCGTGAATGCTTGTACGGTTCTAACATTACCGATCACCTGAGTTTCAACAGTGAAAATATGAAGTACACACAAAACCTAAGATTTTCAATATATATACTTTACTTGTCAGACAAGTAACTAACCTCTTCAGCAATCTCACCGGCCTTGATGTATGATTTCCTGACTCGGGCGATAAGTCCAATGGCCACGAACGCGTAGATGCCACCAGCTAGAGCAATGAGAGGGACTATGGACAGAGTGACAAGACTTATTTGCCATACGCTAGAGAATCCGATTGCAAAACCGGCTATGAACCGGCTTATATAGTGCAAGAAATTCCCTACCTGCAACGAAATTTACCGGTAATCAAGTTATTATAAACCTATAACCTGATTTGCGTGATCATATTTAAAGTTTGGACTAAAGTGACTAGACTGTTGAGTGATTGGCTAGCTGGAAAGAGAGCAAATATAGGTTAAACATTAACATATAAATTAAATTGTATCAAACTCAACCGCCTTATAAATGCAAAATGCAATGTAGCTATAACCGAATTAAAGACGATGCATTTATTATTTTGCATCAAGGACCGAAGGCATATTACAAAAATGAAAATAAAGGTATATACTTTATTGGAATCTCAGAAAATGAGAATATTAGTTTTTTTATAAAATAAATTTAAAAAACTATAGAGATGCATGGAAAAGCCTCTGTAATATTTATTGAACTAAGCCATGGACCATATGGTGATTCACATTAAAACTGACACAGAGTAGAGAACCCATGTGTACCAAATAGAAACAACCCATTTAAAAGATCTATAAATTTGAACAGCTAAATAATGTTTATAGCTATGAAAAAAATGTTTATAGCTTTGATCGACCAACGCCTTAGTTAGGGCATCTTCAACCCAACTCTATTTTTTACTTCAAAATGGAGTAAAAGTGATTATGGAGTAAAAAATGCTCCAACCCCACTTCATTTCTTACTCCATAATGAGATTTACTCCATAAATAGAGTAATCTATTTTTTCTTTGTTCACTACTCCATTATGGAGTTACAAATAGAGTGGGGTTGGAGCATTTTTACTCCATAATCACTTTTACTCCATTTTGGAGGAAAAAATGGAGTTTTACATTGGAGATGCTCTTAGCAGGCTTAACTAGGTAGTTACACAAACACATATAAATAGATTAGTGGTATATAAATCTTATGTAAATTCGAATGCATTTACTTACTAATGGTACTACACAAAAAGTAATTGATCTATTATGAATCTAATAATTGAACTTATGCAAAATGTTGACAATACATAGTTAATCAAATAGTTAGGAGCCGGTTAGATTCTGTATATAGAGGTACCTTCTCGGAGAGAGCATCTTGGACGACAAGAATGTCGGATGTGATGGCTGATATGACTTCTCCGGTGGAAGCTTCGGTATCAAATAAGCTTATGTCTTGACTTAACATTGACCGAAGATAAGCTCTCCTCATTTTTGCCGCTTGCCTCTCTCCCGTATGCATCCAACATGCAACCTCTGTTTCCATTTTTATATTTTTCTATTTACTAAAATAAACTATATAATTCAGAAAGATTGCTTGATTTAATAAATGTTTCTTTACCTAACCATGAAGAGAACAGTATAGCCACACTCAGGTATACAAAATCCAACGAGTACTGCACCAAGTAAATACAAATTAAAGCCGATCATCATAAATAAAAATTATAATACTAGCATATACACTTAATTAGGGTTTCACTTGAATTTGATTTGGAATACATAATAATTTCAAGCTGCTAGTTAAAGTAAGATTGTTTTGTAGGTAATGTAAAGTTTTATTCAGTTTCCGAGTAACCAGCCGAAGAATCTAAAGGTTTGAGTCACACATAAAGATTTATAATTACGAGCTGAATACTAGGGAAAAATTAAATAAAAAACCTTGGCAACTTTGTGAGAGGCAAGGTGTGGATAGAGATAAGCTAGACCAATAATGTTGATGAGTTTGCCAAAGAATATGAAAAAGACCGGAACGGAGGCGCCGTGAATGCACGCGCCGATTGATCCTAGAGTCATGAGAACGCAGTCGTAGAAATCAGCAAAGGAGAAGAGCTTAAGAAGTGACACCTTAGGTGTCGCCTTCTGCTTCTCTTTCTTGGTCGCCGGATCACTGGAGGCGTCCATGTTCACCGGAAAAAAGGTGTGTTTAAGTTGTTGGAGAGGAAGAGTGATGAAAAAAGAAGATAAAATAAATAGAGAGAGACGTTAAGAGGTAAAGTAGTTAGAGAGGAAGAAGGTGAGAGAGAGAGGACATTAAATGAAAGCAGACATATAAGACCAAGATTATCGGTTTCAGCGTGAATTGTTTGGTGTGAAGCTGTGTGTTTGTGATCCTTTATTAATAAGTTTGATCCCTAGCTTTATTTTAAATTGTGTATAATCTTTTGATTAATTATATTAGTAAGTTGTATTAAATTTTGTTCACGGTAAAGTTAATGAATCAGAAGGGTTAATAATGGTGTACGAGTTTGCGTTAGTTGTGCTGATGACTGGTGTGGTGAACTTATAATGTGGTGGGGTCCAGTTTTAGATCATAACATGTTCTTTTGGCTGCTTTGGATGGTGCATTGTGAAGTGACCAAGTCTTAGGGTTCTCCACGCAGTTGTTATGTATCACGTACGATATGACGTCTCATCGGTTCTCTTGATTCTACCTTTTTCACATTTATAAGCTTAATTTTTCCCCTCTTAGTTAAGTCAAAATGGTCGAAGTTTGTGGCTTGGAAACTATTTAAATTCAAAAACTAGTTATTATTCTAAGAACATAACTAATTCGGGTTTTTTTATGATGAATTTTTAATGTAATATAAGAAAAACTAAAAATATCTTTTAAATAGAAGATATAAAAAATATTTTTTTATTTTTTTTTATTAAAAACTAAGAGACATATCTAACACTACTATAAAAGATTCGCATTATTCATGCTCTAATAAAGTTCTAGCCAGTAAACGTATTTAGAATTCGACTACAAGTATAAGCTTTTCAAAAAATTTAAGTTCAATAACAACTAAAAACAACAAACTAAAAGGAGACAAGAACATCAAAGTATGCCATCCAAACAACAACCAGACATTTAACCATGGGCGCGTTAAACACAATTATAACCATCGCTCCGGCCACGACCATTGTTACCGCCTTTAATCGAAGAAGACGAGACGGTATAAGGATCACTGAACACAACCACATTATATATCAATCACCATCATCTATTATAAATTTTATAAGATTTTTACATGATCATTTAGAGATAGAAAAACAAGGAAATCAAATCTTTTCTATTTTAAGATTTTATTCCAAATCGAACAACTTTTTTCTGTTGACGTATTTATAACATTGATGTGACGATTTTAATTTTAAATTTACTAAAATGCTAACAATAATGCATGTGTATGACTCATTTGGGCAAATTATTGCATTTATGTTCGTGAAAATGACGTATTTGAGCTGTTAACTATAGGTCTAGATCAAATAAATTTTGTAGCTAATTTTGTAAGCTGGTTATTTGACACATTAAGAGCTCGTGATTAGCGACTAATAAAATAAAATGACCGCTGGCTTTTTTAATGATCACATTAGTCGGTGAAAGCCCTGGAGAATGTGTTTACGTTCATAATCATCTTTAGAGTCCCATGTTGTTCATAGTCATATTAGGCAGTGAATACATGCAGTCACAGAATTAGATTTATGTTCATAATCATCTTTAAGTCTTAAAACCACACTGATCCGATGATCACGCAATGTTATTTGAACGCATTTTAATTTCAAAATAATGAGTCAAAAACTAACTCCATGAACCAAGGAGATAAAAGCTCTCCGTCTAATTGAAATTAACCACAACCAAAAGACGTTTATATCAACAATTTTCATCTCTGGCACCAAAATTTTCAAAAGAACAAACACAAATCTTGATTGTCGTCGAGGAGAACACAAGCCATGGATTCATTAAGAAGTCAAGGTGGGATTCAGATGCTTTTAACTGCTGAACAAGAAGCCGGCCGGATCGTTTCAGCTGCTAGGACCGGTATAACCTTTCTCTTTTACAGTTTCTTGGGTCAGTTTCTTAAACTTTCATTTTGAATCCCTTTTTTTTTGATGGATGAATCAATAATCAGCAAAACTAGCAAGAATGAAGCAAGCGAAAGACGAGGCCGAGAAAGAGATGGAAGAGTATCGGTCCCGACTAGAAGAAGAGTATCAGACACAAATTTCAGGGGTAATCAGCACAAAAACAAAAGGTAGATACTAAGACATGATTTGTACTTATTCTTGACATTTTATTTCAGACGGAACAAGAAGCAGCTGCGAAACGTTTAGACGAGGAGACAGATGGCAGGATTCAAAACCTTAAGGAATCTAGTTCAAAAGTCTCAAAGGAGATTGTCAAGATGCTCATCAAGTATGTTACCACTACTGGAGCATGATGCTCAATATATACACTTACCTCCAAGAAAGTGGTGGCTCGAATAAAAAATAATGTGGCCCATTCCATTTTATTATTCACAGTGTCTAATAAAGTTTCTTTTGTTCAACCGTCTAATAATATTTTTTCTAAACAAAATCTATTTATCGGAAACAACAAATTTGGTGGTTCTAAAGAGATAACCATGACTAAGAAAAAGTGGCACTCAACAAGAGAAGTGAGCGTTTGGAATAAAACATGCAATGATATATATATGTGTGACCTATTTAGAATCAGCAAGATTGAATCGAAATGCAGTGAGTGCCAGTCATACTAACAAATATATATGACCCAACAAGAATTAATGAGGATCCAATTGAGATGCAATGAGAACCTACCAATCCTGTAACTTAGCCTTCCTGAACAAAGGCTTAGAGCATCAACATCAAGAGTTCATCACCAAATTCACACACTTCCCCAAATAAAAAAAATATTATAATAATGCACATTGATGAATTCCAGCTCGCGAAGGATCACTCTGCTAAACCGGTTCATGTCTGTTTTTGTGGGCTCACGCCACGTGGCGATCCGTTATTGATCCCTTTTCTACTTTTTTTTTCTAAAAAAAAAGTCAAACAAAAAAAAAAATTAAAATATTAAAATCATGAACCCCTGGTGGGGTTCATTGATGCTGCTGCTCTTATATCTCGTCACCAATATGGGTTAACATAGATGTTCAATTTCTTGGTATTACATGGGTTGATCGGAATGAACTGTGTACATCTGATCTTACAGTAGATTTTAAAAACGTTAATGATTTACATATAAAATTTTTAAAGTAAAAAATAAATATTCTAGATTTAGTACTTTCCACAAGAAAAAAAAAAATCTGTGGTTTTAAAAAAAAATCTTTAATTGAAAAAAATTTATGCTCACCAAATTGAGGAAATAATACCATATATTCCAAACTATAAAAGCTATTTTTAGTAACTGGCATCTGATTATAGGAATATACGAATATATGAAATCCTATTTTTTATACAATTTTAAATATAAAAAAATAACCAAATCATAAATATTCAGTTGCGAACGTCATGGTGAGGCAAGAGAGAGAGAAGAGAGGAGCTTGTGGAAAAGTCTGTTATGGTGTGTTCTGTTTTTTTTTTAAAACATACATTGCTAACAGAAGCATACCAAACTCGGTCTTCTTCGTCTTCCAACCCTATCCATTTTCTTCGCTCTCTCCGTAGTATGAACGCAACATAAATTCCGGTGATCGTCTCGCCGATCCATGGCAACTTTTCATAGCTTCCGTAAAGCTGTTGGAGCCCTTAAAGATTCCACAACAGTCAGCATCGCAAAGGTCAACAGCGACTTTAAGGTTAGATTACATTTTCCTCTTCTTGAAAACTATTCTCTTAAAATGATATGATTTGATTTAAAATTTAATGGCGAGCGAATAGGATTTGGATGTTGCGATCGTCAAATCCACAAATCACGTCGAATCTGCTCCCAAAGAACGCCATATTCGAAGTAATAATAGTTTCTCTCTTCTGAATTGGTTTTTGATGATTATTCTGATTCGTTAAGAGTTTATTTTTTTTAATATTTCTACAGAAATATTCTCTGCAACATCTGTGACACGACCACGAGCAGATGTTGCTTACTGCATTCATGCACTAGCCAAGAGATTGTCTAGAACTCACAATTGGGTTGTAAGTCACTTCAAAACCTTTTTCTTTTCAAATATATAAACACTTTCTCTTTGGACTGCTCTAAAATTTCTTTTGTCAACACCTCAGGTAGCTATTAAGGTTTTAATAGTCATTCACAGAACACTAAGAGAAGGTGATCCAACATTTAGCGATGAGCTTCTCAATTATTCACACAGAGGACATATACTTCGTATATCTAACTTCAAAGACGATACAAGTCCTCTAGGTAGACTGATAATTAATTTTTTGAAACACTTTTTTTTTTTTTTTTTGAAACACAATAGACTGATAATTAATACTAAACCTTTTATGTATGTTAATGAAACATTTTTCATGATCACTTGCATGGTGTTTCAGCTTGGGATTGCTCTGCATGGATTAGAACATACGCGCTTTTCCTAGAAGAGAGGCTTGAATGCTACCGTGTTTTGAAGTATGACATAGAAGCAGAACGTTTACCAAAAGGTTCAGGTGCATCTTCAAAGGTTTGTTCTAGAGCTTCTCATCATTTTAAAGCCAATAGAAAAAACTAAAAAGGAATAAATTTATATATCATTCTATCATCAGAATGTGGATTTCAATGCTTCTCAAACGTATAGAACAAGGATGCTATCTAATGATGAACTGCTAGAGCAGTTACCTGCTTTGCAGCAGCTATTATTCAGACTTACCGGTTGTAAGGTAAAGTTATAGATCAACTTTTTGTTTTATTATACAAACGAATGGTTTCTTAATATGTTTTCAGTTTTGCAGCCTGAAGGAGCAGCCTATAGCAACTACCTAATCCAATACGCTCTTGCATTGGTGCTTAAAGAAAGCTTCAAAATATACTGTGCTATTAATGATGGAATCATTAATCTTGTAGACTTGGTTTGTAGAAATCTCCTTTTTCTAGTTTAGTATCAGTAATCTGTGCTATGGATGTTACTAACTTATATAAATATGTGTCTGCTCTCTCTCTCTGTAGTTCTTTGAGATGTCAAGACATGATGCAGTAAAAGCTCTAAATATATACAAACGAGCTGGCCAACAGGTAAGAGTTTAAAGATAAGACTTACTATCAATCTTCATTAAAATTTAACTGTTAAAAAGGGTTTTCACTGCACAGGCTGAAAACTTGGCTGATTTTTATGAGTACTGCAAAAGTCTGGAGCTGGCAAGGAACTTTCAGTTCCCAACCTTGAGACAGGTTCACTCCAAAACCACTTTTTTGTGTTGTATGATATGAGATTGATCAGCTCATAAGACCTAATATCTAAAACTTGTTTTAGCCTCCTCCATCTTTTCTTACAACAATGGAAGAATACATTAAAGAAGCGCCTCAAAGTGGTTCTGTACAGAAAAAGCTGGTACAGACTACAGAGTCTTATCTCACAACTTATTTGGTTAAAGTCTCTTAGCAAATTTCTTAATGATTGACATTTTCTGTTCTAACAGGAGTATCAGGAAAAAGAGGAGGAAGAAGAACAAGAAGATGAAGAAGAGTCTGTTCAGCCTGAAGAACCAGTAGAAACCCAAAATCAAAATGAAAACACCGAAGGAGACCAGCCTCTCATCGAAGAAGAGGAAGAGGAGAAAGAAGAAATAGAAGAAGATACTAAACCTTCTTTCTTGATAGACACGGATGACTTGCTGGTGAATCTTCTTCTTTCTACATATTATCTAATCTGTATTTACATCTCTTTTGGCCAAAGTCTCAAACCCCCATTGACACTTTTTCCTCCTCCACAGGGCTTGAGTGAGATAAACCCAAAAGCTACAGAGATAGAGGATCGCAATGCATTGGCTCTAGCAATATATCCACCAGGTAGCCAACACAACTGCAATATATCTTTAGAGTTAACACTGTTAAACACTATTGGAGGAGGAAATTAAGACTCTGAACATGTTATTGGTCACTACAGGTCATGAAGTTCCAGGTCCATCCAATAGTTTAAGCTTGATAGAAACCGGTGGATCCGGTTGGGAGCTAGCACTGGTCACTCCTCAAAACAACAACAACAACATTACTCGCCCTGCTCCTGACACCAAATTTGTAATGAAGTCTAACACAGCATCTATCTAAATTTGAAACTCTCTACTTTTACTCTCAAAACTCACATTGTTATTTCTTGTTGTGTTTTGTAGGCAGGAGGATTCGACAAGCTATTGCTTGACAGTCTTTACGAAGATGATTCAGCGAGGAGACAGATACAACTAACCAATGCTGGCTATGGACATGGTGGTACTGAGACAGGAGCAGAAGCACCACCACAAAACCCATTCGTGATGCAACAAGATCCCTTTGCAACGTCCAACAACTTTGCTCCTCCAACTAACGTTCAAATGGCAATGCAGCAACAACAGCAACAACAGATGATGATGCAGCATCAAAATCCCTATAATTATTCTCATCCTCATGATCATCAGTTCTCAGCTGCAGGTCCTTCTCCTTCTAATCCCTTTGGAGACCATTTCCTTGCCCTCCCACCTCCACCAGGTCAGCAGCAGCAGAACAGCCATCATCATATGCTCCTCTAGAGTAATAAATAAGAGCTTATTCAGGTTCCCACTCTCTCATGCATGGTTTAAGTGTTTTCGTTTGAATATTTATTCAGGGTGCTATTTTTTCATTCTTACTAGATACCTACTTCTGGTCACTGGTGATTTCTTAATTTGATTATATAAACCGTCAAATGCTCAAAAAATGGAATAAACTCAGTTACTTGTACAGAACGTAACACGAATGAATCCAAGTTTTGCGTATGAGATGAGAGAGCATATCGATCATTAGATTCACATCCCCCTAGTGTATCTATTCTATCTTTGCTGCAATCAATAATCGATACTAGTATATGACAAAGTTGACAACCAACACAATAGCCACCCAGAACAACCATAACACCGGAAAACTAAGCTCTATCTGATAATATAAACTTAAACTAATATGAGTTATGATGAAGTAATCGTTTGACTCACATCTTTCAAGATTATCTGTGCCAGCTTTGCTGAAGTAATGAGAACCAACACAAGAGCCATCCGGAACCGACCTGAATCCCCGAAATCCCAACTCTATCTTATAATATCAAAGTCACTAATAAGAGAGTGGAGGAGGGTAGTAAGCTAACTCAATGAAAACTATTTCTTCTATGTGGATGTTAGTTTTGAATATAATGTATATTGAATTCGAAAATAGACCCTTGTATAAGATGAACAATACAAGTTACATACAAAAAGAAGGTTAATGACTGTCACTCTAGAAGCTGGACTGCACCTATGGAAGGAATGTTTTCCCTCAGTTTCTGAGTCAACGCGACACGAACCGTCATGACTTTAGCAGCTGGTCCAGTGAGCCGAACCTTAACTATATAACCATCGATCTCAACCAGCTCAAGCCCTCCACCTCCGGTTCCTGATAAATAAGGCCGTAGCTCAGCGAGAACCTGAACAACAAAGTCATCAAACATAATTGCCAAAACTGAAAATAACTTAAAATTTTTAATTTCACCCTAAAACTTTTTCTTTAGTTTAAAATCAAACCTTTTCAACGTTTTCGTCGGTGAGCTCTAACCCTCCAGACTCTGCTTCAAGAAACTGCTCAACAGACATAATCTCTGGAATCTTGTCACGGAGACGACTCTCTATTCCCATCTTTAACGTCATTGACGAGCTAGGACACGAGCCACAAGCTCCTTGTAGCTTAAGAACCACCACAAGTCCGTCTATCTCGTGCAGCGCCACGTTTCCCCCGTCTGCCATTAGCGCGGGGCGTACTTCGTCGAGTACTATCTCCACATTCTCTTCCGTTAACGGCATCACGCACACAACGTGACCTATACTCACACCAAAGTTACAAGAACCTAATCAAAATTAATATTCTAAGAGATTATTTGGTGATGAATTATGAGTTTTTTTTTTACCTGAACGTTTTGGCAAAGGTCGAGATTTGCGAGGAAAAGAAAGTTGTATTCTTTGGAATTGGCCACTGAGGAATGTGCTGCTTCTGGAAGAGACCCCATAACTATCTGAAACTGCGTTCTAACACAAGCCAAGGACGAAGATGTAAGAAAAGGTTATTTTTCTAGTGAATCACGATGAGAGTGAAAACAATACCTTTGAATTGAGAAGCGAGGAGCGAAAACTAGAGCTCTTCTCAGACGAGGAGAGGGAGATGTTCATCATTGTAATTCGGGTTTGACCCGAAACCGAACCCATTAAAATCCTCACTTTACGATTGAAGAGATTTCAAGAACTAACCCTTCTTGAATATCGGCTTGATAATCTGGGGAGTGAAAAGACTGAAAAAGATGAACTTTTTCATTGGTGGATGAAGAGATGATGATACACGTCTGATATAATTTGTGGCCAATATTTTTTTCACTTTAATAATTAACTAGGATAAGACCCTGCGAATATATGTAATTAAAATATAAAATTTTAATATTCACAAATTTAAAAGTTACATATGATTGTTTTTGTATGTATTTGAAATTTTAGAATTTTAGATTTTTTATATAATTATCTATACGTATGATCAAAAACAATTTTAATTAGAAAAGTAAATCAAATCTTAGAATTTAATGGATCTGATTTCATATATCTTTTTACTTTTCAGTGTTCGAGTGATGGAAAATAAATGGAGTGTCACTGGGCTTGATTGGTAGAGTATAGCAAGTTCCCTAATGTTTTTAAATAAGCAATTGGTAAAATATTTGCAATTAAAATATATAAAGTTTCTAAACTAATTTAATATAATTTATTTATTTGTCTAATAATATTAGAAAATTATATTTTTAAAAAATAATTTTCTAAAAAATTATGTTAAATTTAAAATTATTTTTAAAAGCAATATTTTAAGTTTTTCGAATACAAATAAACAATTTAAAATTAATT